ATATATATATATTTGTTAGCACTATATATTCAATTGTTTAGTCAAAATATAGTATATTTTTTATTACAATTTGTGCATATAAAATTTACTAAATTTTATTAAACAATTGAATTATTATTACTCATTCTTATTTATATTTGTATATGTTATATGTTAATTTTGAGTTCCTAATTTTAGATATGTTTGTTATAATATTTTTTTTTTGTTTTAACGGGTTAAGTAATATAAAACAAAAATATTATAATTTTCCAAAATTTTTTTTTTTAGGGTCAAGTAATATAAAACAAAAATATTATAATTTTCCAAATTAATATTTTTTTGATAATATGAAAAGGATAGTTTATTTGAGAATATTGAAGAAAGAGAAAAAAAAGTATTTATAAATAGATCTTCAATAATTAATCAATTATTAAATGTTTGACATAATGAGACTTGCATTGACATGATGGTTTGCATTTAGTTAGTTCAAGATAAAATAGTCAACGATGTTGGCAAGATAATGACTACTTGTTAATGGTAGTGGTTAGCGGACAATTATTGAGTGATAATAATCTAACAATGACAGTTAAACGAAAACAATAAGATAATGATGATCAAATAACAATAGGTAGACTGTGGTGCTCTAGTGGTCTTTAAGCTTTCCAAAAACTCAAGTACATGTCACTTTCATGTGAAATATGTGGGTCTACTTTTAGTTTTTGATATTCATCAATTTAGTCTCCTAATCACATCAAATTTGTTTGATGCTCGTTTTATGATGGATTCCTTTGATCTAGATGCATGATTTGATTATAATCATCTTATATTTTTTAAGATAAATTCAATGGATGCCTTGAAAATTTCAATTAAATTTTTTTTGTGCTTGATTTGAACTCAAATTGAGCCACTTTTAACATGTTATGTTCATCTCCTTAAATCATTTTCTTTTATTATACGAAACTCGTTCCATTTTAATAAAAATAATAACAATAAATCAACCATTCAAATAAATTTGAATTAGTGATAATATCAAATTTACTTCCAAAAATTTCTAAATAAAAAAAAAATTACCAAAATTCATATTTGATTGGGTATATTTTTTAAATGACACATCAAAAGTAAACTAAAAAATATAGGACTTATTTGATATCACTTTTATTTTCTTACTTTTTATGTTTAGGATTTACTTCCAAAAAAATTAAGGCTCACTTCAAAAAATATTTAAAAAAAATTAAAAATTTATTTTAGTATTTATGTAAATAACCCAATATTTTATACCATATAAAACATATATTATTTCAAATTAAAATATAAATAAAATAAAAAATAGCAAACAATCCCCAATTTTTTTATGTCAATCTTAATTAGATTGAATATTCGAACAAATTTTTAAACAATAGTCAAAAAATTCCAATTTGGCAGTTTCTAAAATTAAATATTTGAAATCAACCAAATTTAAGTGGGGAATAAGCCTTCAACTTTCCTTTCTCAAATCCAACATAATTAAATTCCAAATCCATGAGTTTAACAATATTTTTCCATACCCTATCAATGATAATTATTTTCTAATTTAGGCAGATAATATAGATATTTCCGATTTAAAAAAAAATTAACCTGCCAATATTTTCTGGACCCACCGCTGATCGGGGCCCACCACAGACTAATAACAAAAATGCATACATTACCACCCAAGAAAAGACACACCACTTACAGCCTCCACGTGTCTCACCAGTCTTAAAAAAATAAAAACTATTAAAATGTTAAATATTAAAAAAACTTTTCTATAAGTAGACCCCAACTGCTATCCCCAATCGGACTCCTTGTTGCTAATGGCGAAGTCCACAGAGCAGGAAGAGCGATACGAGGGAATCAAGCTGCCGGAAAAAGGCAGCCCTGCCGCCGACGCCGCCGTAGACGAAGACGAATTATCTCCGATCGAGCAAGTCCGATTGACTGTGTCGACAACTGACGATCCCAGTCTTCCAGTATGGACGTTCCGGATGTGGTTCCTTGGGCTTCTGTCCTGCGCCCTAATGTCTTTCCTGAATCAGTTCTTCGCCTACCGAACGGAGCCGCTTGTGATCACGCAGATCACCGTTCAGGTGGCCTCTCTTCCGGCGGGACATTTCCTCGCTCGATCCCTACCGACGACGAAGTTCCGACTGCCGGGATTCGGTGATCGGAAGTTCTCGCTCAATCCGGGGCCGTTCAACATGAAAGAGCATGTCCTGATCTCGATCTTTGCAAACGCCGGGTATTCTTTTGGAAACGGAAATGCTTATGCTGTTGGGATTGTTAACATCATCAAGGCGTTCTATAAGAGGAATATCTCATTCATCGCTAGCTGGATTCTTATTATCACCACCCAGGTTTGATCGCTTTCCTCCATAATCTGTCTGGTTTTCTGCACTTTTCGTTTCCCTGTTCTCCCGGGGATTTGATCGGGATTACTTGCATAAAACTTGAGCAAAATTATCCTTAGAATATAATGCAGATCTAAACATCAATAATTTAGAATATATATAAGGTAATTTAATGATTGCATTGTTTTTTTTTT